TCCCAAGAGTTGGGTGGATATGCTCAGAGCTACCCTGTTTCCCCGAAAATAAGACAGTGTCTTATATTAATTTTTTCTCCCAAAGTCTGATTTTCAGGGGATGTCTTATATTTCCATGCACTAGGTCTTATTATCGGAGGATGTCTTATTTTCGGAGAAACAGGGTATATTAAAAGTGGAAATAGAATTTTTATGCGTCCTATTTTCTATTTTTCTCTTTCAATCTGGAAAATGAGATTAAGAAAATGTGTATATGTACAATTTGAGATTAGGATTATCCAGCTCTCACTGACCCTTAGCGATAATAATCAAAAGAGAGTAAAAGAAAGTCTTATGAATAATAACTATTCTAAAGAAGACAAATGACATGGTAAACTTGAACTCTAGCTCTGATTACACAAATTCATTATGCTAAGGTTTGTGAACACGTTAGCCTCACTGAGCTTGTCAATTCATATGTTTAATAAATGACTCTATAACTCCTCTAATGTATAAAAAAATACTAACTAAAATTCATAAAACTGCAGTTTTTTATATGCTGAAAGCCAAAGTGATAACAGTGACCACTGACACATCCATTCCTTGATTTTATAAAAATTTCTTTAATAAACTGCTTGTGCCAGACAATATATAAATTCCAAGACATGAACGTTTTTACCCCAAAAGAGGCTCCAAAACACAAAATGGTTTTACATATAATACATTTAATTACTTCAAAGGCCAGAATTTTAATGTAATGTATTCATTTTCCTCTTCATTAGCATGCCCCAGAGAAATATGATGGAAAACAGTAATTGCCTAATAAAAAGTAGCTGAATTAGAAAAGCATTCCTAAATTCATCAGGATATATAAAATACAAGGGAAAGTTTGCAATTCTTTTATAGAATGGAAAGTTTTCATTACCTTCATCTTCCTAAAGTGAGCAAGTTGGTAATTAATTTATAGACTTATTCTTAACGAAACTTTCAGAGATACTCACACTTTTAAATATGCTTGTTGTTAATTCTTCAATTACTTTAACCTTCAGAAAATAAAGTACCACTTATTGCACACCAATTATGTATGGTATGTGTGTACACTAATCATACATATATCATTTCATAATATTCACAATATTATAAGCTACTAAAATCCCTATTTATGAAAAAATCTGAAGCTCAAGAAAATAGGTAACTTGCTCAAGGTCATGCTGTAAAGAAGATATAAAAATGGAATTCTAATGTAGGTCTGAACCCAGCGCCTGTGCTCTTCATTACTCTATGTCCTCCCTGCCTCTACGACATTTAAAAAAAATAACAAGCTAAAACAAAACTATTAGTTGAGTAGTTTAAAATCTCCACTATCTTAAAACTTTCCAATACAAAATGTCTTGATAAATATATGGCCCCTTGTCCTGAAAAAGGCATAAACTTCTAACTATCTGCAAATAAAACGTAAGGTCTTAGAACATTCATCCCCTAATTCTTTTCTCCTATATTTGTATTTACTTTTCAGAGCCCCATTTTTTTTTTTTTGTAAAATGTTAATTTTAAAAAGTACAACAAAAACTACTTTATATTCTAATGAATCTGTGAAAGCAGAATTAACTAAGTACCACCTGGAATGGTACTGTTCCTACATTCTTCCCCACAGGTACAAGCTCTTCTTTTCTGAGTACTGTCCTGTCCATCCTTCATCTATTTTGTGCATCCTATACTCATTTCTTCCTTCTTTTAATTTAATCTGTATTTACTATTCTTACTATACAAATACACTTTTTTTAAAAAAAATATATTGGTACATATAAGGTTCCAAATAATTATTTATTGGATTATATCTGTCCCTAGTAACCAATTTAATACTTAATTTACAGAAACAAAGCAGTATCAGTATAATTTGTATTCTATCAGTATGCAATGTAGGATTATCAGCATATAAATGGCATATTATCTGGCTCACAAATAATACCAAATGTATATAACTAATTTTCTCAAAGAGACAAAGACCATTTTTTCTTTATGTGGTATCCCAGAATCATTAGCATACAGGTATATTGGATTTACTCAAGAAATACCTACAGATAAGCTGATCTGCAACTAGATAAATATTACATTTTTAAAAGTCTATTGAGACATGGCTGGTGTGGCTCAGTCAGTTGAGCATCAACTTGTGCACCGAAAGGTTGCTGGTTCAATTCCTGATCAGGGCATATGTCTGAGTTTGAAGGCTTTATCTCTGGCAGGGAGCATGCAGGAGGCAGCCAATATCTATCTATCTATCTCTCTCTCTCTCTCTCTCTCTCTCTCTCTCTCTCTCTCTCAAAGTCAACAGAAACATTTTGTTTTTAAAGTCCATTGAGTATTTCTGATTATATTAAATAAAACATTTTCAAGGAAACAGATATGTATTTGGACTAAAAAGTTATTAGTGTTTTGTGTCCTTTCTTAATGTTTTTAAAATAGAGAACAGACATAGACAGGAGTTAGTAGGTAACATATGAACATTTCACTGACAGGAACTTTGATAAGAAAATAAGTTCTCAAAAGTAGTAATAATTATGAATTGTGATTACAAAGAAAGAATCCATGCTCATCACTCAAAAAGATAATTTTGAAATTCATAAAAATTGAAATATAAAAATAAACAGGAAAGAGGCATTTAGTGAACCTAATTTAAATCATTTACATATAGACTGCCATTTTTAACTCTAGATGTAATCGTTGCCTTATTAAATATTTTGACAGCTTTAAGAAAGCAAGTGCAAGGAAGAGGCAGAGTCTTATATTATTCAGTTTTTACAAGTTTATATTCTTAATACTTCAACCAAGAACACTGGCCATGGATATACTAGCATTTAATTTGGTTCATAGTTTTAAGAGGGCTTGACACTGAGAATCATAAATTATAATATAACCATAATCAGAACCTTATAGATGAAGTTACTTAATTAACAAAGAACTAAGTTCTTATTTCAGGTAATAAAATTGTGAAAATCTATGTTAGATACAACAAGTGATGTGAATCATCAATGATACATACTTATACTAATACAAAAATTTTCAAAAATATTTTATGGCAAAATTAGACAGTAATACTTGTTATTTCATAATTTTAAATATTTTTAACTACTATATCTAACCACATGACAGCAGTCATGTGATACAAGTATTTTTAAATACAACACATTCTTCTAATATGAATTATGATTAGTTATAAACAAGTAATACAAATTCCAACATTGTATGATACTTAAAACTGGTTTAGAACCTAAAACTGCCATTTAAAAAACTATATGCAAGATAACCAAAAATAAAATACATATTCATTTATTTACATTCTATTTTGAGAATGCTTTCTTTTACTGCATTTAAGCTTATATTTTCCTTTTCGAAGTAGCCACCATCACATAAAACAAGTATCATAAAAAAATTTGTCACAATAATACAAAATAAAACTCTAATTATACTTAAAATTAAGCTTCAATTATTAAATGCAAATATTTTGGTAGAAAAACTTAATCAGATAATTCTGTTGTTACATTTCTAAAATAAGAATCATTACTTAAATAAGTTGCCAAAAATATGTTAATTATCAGAAAATTAAACTTAATTTAAAAAAGTAAAAACAAAATTCAAGGATTTTCAATTCTTGAATAGATATATAGATATATTATTTAAATAACAATATACTTAGTAAAAACAAACAAACAAACAAAAAAAAAAAACAACCCCACCAAGTAAATAAAATGAAATGAAATACAAGCAAGCATCTGTAGTTATCTATTCTGAATTGCCTAGTATGTATATCAGCTATTATTGATTTTATGGCTAGTTTTTGCTTCTGAAAAGCTAAATCACATCTAATAGGATCATGATTTAGAGATGACCTCAATTTTATTCATCATAATAATATGATGTCAGCAAGTGTTTAACTTTAAATTCATGACAGATAAAAACTGCATTTTAACAGCCAGATTTAGTTTGTTTGAGCTGGTGAACAGATGTTAATGTAATCTGCAATACTATCATACTCCAGGTCTAATAGATAGCAAGCTAATATTTACTTTTAAGTGCTCTAAAAATAATTTAAAAGCTGCATAAAAAGGATTCCATAAATGTATTGTGATTTTATTTTAACAATTATTCTACACTACAATGGAAGTACATGCTCAAACAAGACACCTCAGCAGTATTTTAAAGCAGTAACCACCTAGCCAATTTCTGTATGTTCTGTAGTTTTTCTAATCCACTCTCCCTGTGGTTGAGCAAAATCGAATTGCCTCTCACATTTGCAGACAGCTCTGTGAAGGTGATAATAGAGCTACTCCCTGCTGTCATGAGGCAGGAAATAGGAAAATGGCATATGGGGCTAGAAAGAAAGAAAGAAAAAAACGAAAGAAAGAACAAACGAACAAAAAAAGAAAAAAAGAACTAAACAAGAACAAAAGATTTTGACAAAGAACAACTATAACCCAATATGCTTTGCAAGTTAATCTCTTTTCAGAATCATTTAGCATATTGAATCATTCATCTGGGTCCTCAATCCAAAAATGGGAATGACTGCTACAAAGTCTTTGGGGCAAGTTTTCATTGTCTAAAATATTTGGAACATACAACTCCAGAGCATTTCCTGCACAATATCTGTAAAACAGAGCTCTTTAACTAGATTTTTAAAATGTGCTAATCTCAAATTCCCTATTTTTAAATAAAGAAGAGTAATGTTTATTAAAATATTTATGAAATGTGTATAGCAGGCTTTTAGTATGGTTTAGCATTCCTAAACCTATGAAATAAAAAATTTAAAGATAAACATTTATGATTAGGCAATAGCTGATTAAAGTAAAAACAATCTCTAAATAATACCAAGACACACATATAAACTTGTACTTTTTCTTTTTTAAGTAACCAGTCAGGGGGTTTTGTGTAATTAAGAATTCTGCTTTATAAATACAGATTTTTATTTACTGTGGCTGCAAACAGAATGTGGCAGTAGATGCTAATAAAGACAGAATCTACTCTACCTTTCCTTTTACACTCTGAATGGGATCCACAACCACTGCCACAGCTCTCTCCGACAAGGCTTCAAAGCTCTGCTGCGTGTTGATATCCACACCAGAAAGCCAACAACCAAAGCCAGGGTGACTGTGATACCAACCAACAACCATCTCCGGTCTGAAACAAAGAGGGCATTCAGCTGTTCAGAATAGAACAAGGAATACATTTATGATATGAAAAGAAACAGCACACTAACAGGGTATAAATTAAAAAGAGATGATAAACACACAGGTGTGAAAAAGCACCATTAGAAACACTGATAGCATACACTACATTATCCAGAAAACATGGAAATGTAAGTGTGATAAAGGAGTGCTATCATTAAGAGATGCACATTAGCAGTGGTAGATAAGGCTTTCAGTTTTTCACCTTGTTACCACACTTTCTCAGAGCCAGTTTCTACCCTTTCAGCATTCAAGTAAATATCTACTCTTTAACTCCTTAGCTCTGGGAGTTGGATTTTTCAGGCAGAGTATATTTTTAACAATGGACACCAGGATCCACTGTTGTGAAAGGATTAAATATCAATTAAACCAGCAGTAGAACTAGGAACTCAGTCAAAAACCAATTTGCACTGATCTGCTCAGCTGCTGAGCCTTTTGCTAACATTAATTTTGAAGTTTTTTCCACACAGTAGAAGAATTTGAGCAAGAGAATGACAACTATTGAGAGATTTAATCTGGGGGGGAGAGGGGGACGGACGATGGAAATAACTCGAAGAATATTTGGATTTTATTTGCCCTGTCTTTAAAACTCATATGCCTACAAATATAAATATTCAGAATCTTATTCGGTTGCAACTCTCAAATACATGGAACATAAACTCTCTTTCAATTATCAATGACTAGAGAGTAGTCATGTATCAATGACTAGAGAGTAGTCCATATGCTAACCAGAGGGAAGCTACAGCACAAGCTTACTATGTGATGATTGAGAAATTTAACATGAAGCAGTTTTCTGATTGGCAAATTTCTTTGATTCTAGATGAATGAGAGACTAGATAGGTGGTGTCTAGCACTGACAACAATACTTTTACATTAACTACATGGCTTTTCCCACCCCCTAGGAATGATATTCATAAACATCCAAAATTTTGAGTTACGTTTCTGAAAATATTTGCCATTATTCCTTTATATGATAATTTAAAATGCTTACCTTCCGGTCTGCTTCAGCATATCCAGCATTTTGGCTTGGAATACTGGATCAACTGCCTCCACACTAACACCCTGGATTAAAAAGAAAAAAAAATAAATAGCTTTTATAATTATGGGGGGGGGGGGGGACCCCACATATTACAATATAAATTAACAAAAAGCTACCCGAGAAATATTAGGTATATTATTTTGAAATATCAAAATAATTTTATAGGTTTTTATATCCATATTTGATACCAGCTCTTGTCATTCAATTATAAACCTTACATCAATAAAGCTCCTAAAATCACCAACTACCAAACTTCTTAGTTAAGACTTAGTTAAGACAATTTTCAATTATAGGAGAGATCTTTTTCAGGTTCCTTTAAGAATTTATGGCCGTGTGTGTGTGTGTGTGTGTGTGTGTAAAACACCAAATAACTGAATTAATTACTATTAGAAAGCACAATTCCTAATGCTGCCATCCTTTGATAACTTTTAAGCATCGCAATAAAAGTTCTACAATTATTCAACTATTATAATAATAAAGTTTCAAGTATTTCCCCAGTAATGTAAATACTCTGAAGAAAGAAATTTATTAGTATCTCAGAGTTGGTTTTAGGGTGGTGAGTAGATTGGAAAAAGGGGAAGTTTAGTATTTCAGTTAGGACAACTTGTTAGAATAGGTAGTTGGAGGGAATTAATATACTTTTGAATATTACCTAAAATATAAGAGCATTTGCACAAAAATTTCCTACTAGATACATTCTATAACCAAGTTTTTTGTGTTTTTTTTTTTTAATATATTTTATTGATTTTTTTACAGAGAGGAGGAGAGAGGGATAGAGAGCTAGAAACGTCGATGAGAGAGAATGTGCCTGCAACCAATGTACATGCCCTTGACCGGAACCTGGGACCTTTCAGTCCGCAGACCGACGATCTACCGCTTAGTCAAACCGGTTTCGGCTATAACCAAGTCTTTTAAAAGCTGCATTATATTGCTAGTTCAACCAAAAGAAAATTTCACAACCTGAACTATCTATCACAGGCATTCATACTATCTCTTCAGTGATAGATCATTGCCATTATAGCTCGAAAAAGGTTTTCTTCTAATTTCAGGAATTTAAGTCTAATCTACTTAAACAAACTAGTTAATATAAACACTTCCTTCCAACCAAAACAAATAGTATTTTGAATCTTGCATACTCAAGAACAGGGGTATGCAATCTGCTCCTACCTACAGGCTAAGAAAGGTTTTTTGTTTGTTTGTTTGTTTTTTTACATTTTTAAAGGATTGTTAAAAAAACAAAACACAAGAAACACACACACACACACACACACACACACACACACACACACGAATATGAGGCAGAGACACATGTCTTTACAGAAGATAGCTATCTCTTGTGCCAGAAGAAAAACTTTTAAATTCTACACAGAGTAAACATGGGGATCAAAATCTTCTATTTTATATTGCCAAACAAGCACTTACACAGAATATTAAAGCTTAAGATCCCTTTATTATAATGAATAAGCATATAAGAATCACATGTAACAGATAAAACCAGTTAATTCTATTCTTTTCCTTTTTTCATTGTTTAAAGTATTACATATAGTAGTAAATATATCTTCTTTCTAAAACCAGTTAATTTTGTGTTTAATATATTCTGACATGAAAAGATAGATACAAATAAGAGTCTAATATTCAAATCTAAATCTTTAGTTAATATGTAGTGTATTTCTCTATGTCCAATGCACAAAATAAATATAATGGAAAATCGGCAGATCCAAGTTAGTTTACCTCATTTCATGTTTTTCTATATTTTGCACTGTTTACAAATAAACTGCATTCTGTAGCAACTACTCCATTTAAAATACTTATTATACACACAGACACACACACACATTGCAATATTTAAAAATGAAATTTGTTTTTCTCTAGCATCTATTTTATCAAAACATACTTACAGAAAAGAACTTCAAACAGCAAACAGTTTAATGAAAACAATTTCTTTAACCTAGATATTTTATAAACTTCAATAAGAAAAAACATCCATCATAAAAAATATACACATTATATTTTTCTAGGCAAACAGACGAGAAGGATATGTGTGTTGTTTTTTTGGAAGGTAAGTAGAATAGTTATTGTCTTTTGGCCAATTTCTTTATATTAAAATACATACCTATCTACACAAGTCCAATGCACTAAACAAAATAAAAAAATAAAAAATAAATTGACCCAGAGAGAGTAAAAATTCTAAACAGTAGATGACTTTTAAATCTGTATGAATTCTGTTGCTTCTAAACAAATTACCATGCTTAGGCAAAAGGACCAAAGCTTACCATAAATTTTTTTGTAACTTAACATTTTTAATAGGAAAAGTTCAAGAGTCGTTTATCACCATATAAGGAACATTTAAAAAAAAAAGGTCATATTTCAAAAACAATGGGAACAAAACATGAGGACTAGATAATGTATGTAAATGAAAATCTAATTAAGAGTCTGAAATCTTTTGAACCAAGAGTTCAAACTGATATTTTACTATTTGAGGGTGAACTAATTTATAATAAACCCAGTACGCTCTGCTAGTTTAAGCTAAAGGTATGAACCAAGGAATTTAATGTTAGCATTATTCAGTTCATGGGTCTACAGGGAATGATGCACTTAAAATATGTCATTTAATTCATACAATAATTTAATTCAATAAATTATTAATTCACGATGAATTTTAATCTTATGAATTTTTCCCATCAGGAAGAGAAAATAGAATATGATGAATGTTATTTGGCATAGGAAAATCTTATGATGAAGAGAAAATATGATGAATATTATTTTGCATAGGAAAAGTAAAGAGAAAAGAAACACATTTACTTACAGCAGGCAACCATAAAAGTACTCACTGTTCCTGACTGTGGCATAGCAAACACATCAATCACTCTGACGGTGTAATCGTCAACAAATTCTCCAAGCATCAGACCCATAACTTCCATAGGAACTCCAGCACGACCATGTTTTAACATCTGTAAGAGGAAGATATGTGGACACAAAGCTTTGAGATCTTTATTCTTTTAAATTTAAAAAGAACCTATTATATTTTAGTTTCAGTGGAAATAAAATACTCTTATTTTATTGATGTAGTTAAAACAATAGTTTGTCTGAGAGGATTACGGTGACAAATATTCCAAAGTAAAAGAAACAGAGCTCTCTTAAAACAAATTATTCCATTCAACACTTACTTTTAACAATGCCAGGGAAGAGATATAGACTTGTTCTGCTGTGTCCACTGCAGGAGCATCTGTAGGTGGCCCCTAGATACAAGCATATCAATTATAAACACACAGAGTTTATGAGTTTAAAAGTAAAGTTACAATTTGATTGGTTTTAAGAGTTTTGGGAAAATATGTAGTATCCTTTTATTCAGGTACAACACAAATAATCAAAACAAGTTTGGGATATTAAACCTGTAGAAGACAGATCAAACTTAGGACTAAGGCAAATGTCCAATGGACATAAAGCTTAAATCTTTCAGCAGTGCTAATCTATCTCCACTCCATAATAACTGTAATATACCAATTAGTCATATTTCTCACCAAAATGTGAAGGCAAAATACTGTCAGACTAGCATGATTAACTGTAAACAGCAAATTCTGTAAGCTTGATTTTCAGCATGTAGATTTCTTTGAAAATAGTAGATACAGTTGGGAGGTGGGGGAGAAGGGGGACGAAAGACTTCTAATCCCTAGGTGAAAGAGCTTTCACATACTCTATACTTCACCTGATGAAGCTGTTCCCCTCCTCCTAAACAACAATTTAACACAGTAAACCCCAAGTGTGAACAAACTGGGTGAGCCTGGTGTAACTAACATGAAAACACTTCCAAAACCTAACCACTATCTTTAAAACAAGTATTAACCTTATTACAGGCTAAGGAAGGTCTATGTTTCTCCCTAAGGATTCCATCTTCATCAAAAGCAACAACCTCTTTTACTGTAACATTCTGTGGCATAATTTATATATAGTCCTTACCCTCAAGATGACTACAATCTTATAAATGTAATTCCACATAGAAATTTTTTAAAATTTATTTTTATTGTTGAAAGTATTATAAAAGTTCCCCGTTTTCTCCCATTGACCCTCTCTACCACCACCACCCCCCGCCACAGAACTATTGTGTGTCCATATATGCATATAAATTCTTTGATTAATCTCTTCCCTCCTGCTCCCCTCCCTGTGAAATTCCTCAGTCTGTTCCTTGCTTCTATTTCTTAGGATCTATTTTGTTCATTAAATTCCACATATGAATGAAATTATGTGATTCTTGGCATTCTCTGGCTTATTTCCCTTAGCATAATACTCTCTCTCCCGGTCCTTCCATGCTATATCAAAAGGTAAGAGATCCTCCTTTTTTACAGCTGCATAGTATTGCATTGTGTAAATTGTACCTACAAGATGACTACAATCTTATAAATGTAATTCCGAAAATAGAAAACTTTTTCCCTTAATACTGGGCAGTCTAGGAAATTAAAATGAAATGTGACTTATAATTGTTAGGTGCAGTTTTACTTAAAGTTCCCTTTCCTTGACATATAACTGCTACAAACTATATAACAAACATGTTAGCTTTCAAAATTATGTCAACACTCTATCTTGCTCTAACAGGTTTGCTCACTAAAATTAAACAACTGCTTTACTCATTACACTTCACACTTATAGGTCTATGTATACTTTGTGCTTCTTCTTGTCTATTTATATGCTAAATTCTGTGATTTGTTTTGTTTAAAAGCTCATTAATATTTACTGGAAGCATCCTAGGTAATAAAAGTGTAATATGCAAATCAACAGAATGGCAGCCAGGCATGGGAACCTGAGTAAGGAGCGAGGGGTCCGGGACTGTGAGAGGGTGTAGCTGGGCTGAGGGACGCCCAGTGCACAAATCTCATGCACTGGGCCTGTAGTTAAGAATAAAAGGTCCTAAAATAAGTTTTCTCTAAATACAAGAATCATACAAAAATCACCAGTTTCTGTATGTACAACGTGGAAGAAAAATTCAAATCTCTTAAAATTTTAAATAATAAATGCCACATAATAACTTAAAAACTGACTTAATTCTTTATCTATTCTCACCCAATACAGCTTTATCACTTGCATTTCAAATATATATGAATCTCAGAATGAAAATTTAAGGTAAGTTAGCTACCATGCCAAAGTATTTGCTGAGATCACCATCATATAAAACATGATAATTTTGTTAAAATAAATATATTCATCCAAGAAAGTTAAGAAAATGTAAGAAGATAAGGGCAGTAGTAAATTATGATGAGAGGTTTCAGGGAAATAATACTCTAAAGTCAGGACAGTGAACACTATATTCATAAAAAGTATTTTTAGGATTCACAGCAACTTAAAATACACATATGGAGAAAGAATTTTAAACTGGTATCTATACTACAGTTATTAATACAAGGTGATCAACTTGTCAGAAAATATTAAGAAGAAAAACAAAGAATAGCCCTGGCCAGGCAGCTCAGTTGCTTAAAACATTATTCGGATACACCAAGGTTGTAGGTGCAAATCTTTGTAGGGACATATACAAGAATCAACCAGTGAATGCATAAACAGAACAATGAATCTCTCTCTTTCAATAAATAGAAAAATAAATAAACAGGGAAATAAAACAACACACCATCACTGAAACGTATTATTGACAAAATCCACAAATTATTTCTGCCATCAATAAAAGAACACACACTGTTCTGTTCAACATTATATGTAAACAGGACCTAGCAAGTGCCTGGCACATAATAAGAGAACTCGAGTATTGGTTGAAAAAAATTGAGGTATTGCAAACCAATGGGGCAGAAATAAAAAATACCCACCCAGAACTCCCTGTGAGAGAGAACAAATCATATGTAAGTAAATTTAAAGATCCTTAGCTACTCTCTCAATATTTTCTTCTTAAAAAAAAAAAAAAAAACTTTTATATGTTTTATATAAACTTTTATATGATTTCAGAGGAAGGGAGAGAAAGAGAGAGATACAAACATCAATGATGAGAAAGAATAACTGCCTACTGCATGTCCTCTACTAGGGACCATGCCTGAAACCCAGACAGTGCCTGACTGGGAATCGAACTGTGACCTCCTGGTCCATGGTCGATGGTCCACTGAATGACACCAGCCAGATCACTATTTTCTTCTGACTCAGAAACCTACTACCAGAAAACATGCAGCAATGTTCCTACTATATGGGTGCTGTTTTTAGAGACAGAAGTCAGTGATATTTTCTGTTGCCCCTTTCACTCCATGACTACTTTATTATTTGATCTATTAGACTAAATTTTCCAAAGAGCTTGGCAAGAAGTAGCAGTGAACTGTATCAAGGAAGGAAGGGAGGGATGGAAGGATGGATGGATGAATTCCAGTTCCAGGCAAGACTCTGGAGACCCAAACTCATATGGGGAGAAACTGGATTGTCTGGCATTCGATTGGAACACGAGGGTGGCTTTCAGAAGTGCTTGAAGCAATTACCAGGCTGGCAGGAGAGGGCAGTTAGGGGCAATTGGGCCGGCAGGGGAGCAGTTAAGTGTTATCAGGCTGGCAGGGGAGTGGTTAGGGGGTGATCAGGCAGGCAGGCAGGCAGGCATGCATGCAGCTGGGAGCCAGGGGTCCCAGATTGAAGAGGGCACCCCCCACCCCCGTGCATGAATTTTGTGCACAAGGCCTCTAGTTTAAGTAAATAAGCAGAAATATGTGCATAACAAGAACATTCATGATAGTTCTTCTTAAAATACTGCAAATAAAAATAAGAACAAGATAACCAATAACTGAAGAATACTGTTGAAAGTTCCTTCATATAAAATCTCTGCTGTAGCCATCTTAATCAGCAACATTACCTTAAGTTAAAGGTATGCCAGCTGCTGCTATACTAAATATTTTGAACTTAAAATCTTCAAGGAATTATCTCCTAATTTAAATAAGAAAACTAAGACAATGGAACATGGCTGCTAAATACATTTACATGGAGGCAGATTTCTCTCCCTTCTTGGAAGCTATGATAGCAAAAAAGATAAATTAGCAATTAACCTATAAGACACAGACTTCAATGTTCGCCAGAGGAAAAAAAAAAATTATAGCTCTTAGGGATATGGCCTTTTTTGGCCAATTCTGGGACTGTATGCAAAAGATTCCACTTTAGAAATTTCTTCAGTCTTAAAATCTGAGCTATCAGTGTAGGGAAATGGCTTAAGATCATGATATATAGTAAAGGTTCAAAAGAACTTGATGTAACTTGGAAAAGATTCACGGTACAGAACAGTGATCTTCAAATGTAAGAAAAGTTGTCAGACAAAGTTCAGACTAATAGTTCTCAAGGTGCAGTGCTTGAACCAGACGCAGCATTGGCATTATCTGGGAATTTGTTAGAAATGCACCTTCTTGCTAAAATAGAAATTCTGGAGGCAAAGCCCAGAAATATGGATTTTGAAAAAGCCCTCTAGGTGATTCTAATGCTCACTAAATTATGGGAACCTCTGATTTTAGACTACATAGTTTATAGAACTATGGCTAATGGAAAAAGCTTATATTTGTCCAAGCTATCTAAAGAAGAGTTGAATTAATGAGAGCCTTGTAATAGGAGTTATTAAAACATAAGTGTTCAAATTTATGAACATGTTATAGAAGGGTCTCAAACATTTGATAACTGTTTAAGTTAGATGATATTTTTGGGTTCTCTCCCAACTCAGCAATCATTACATTGTTTCCCAAAGAGACAAACAAATCCAACATCTTCAAAATCAAACTTACCAAGTTTCTCTACAACCTAACTTTCCTGACTTATAATTCTAATTAATTGAGTAGTCTCAAACTAGAAATTTGTACAAAATTTTGTTGACTCTCCTTCAGTCCTCATATGGAATATATCACAAAGTTTTATCAATTCTTTTGTTATTCTGGAGTGACAAGAGATTTCAAAAAATATTCATTTAAAAATTTTTAAGAAAATACTATCCAAAGAATTCATTCCTAATTAAGTTTAAAATATTTTGCATATGTACCCTACCCCCCAAAATTATGCTGTATGTTAGAATATTAAAGACTCTAAGGAAAATTCTGGAGTGGAAAAATCTGTTTATCTTTATTTAATCTAAAGTTTTCTGAATCATTCCATGGGCCACACTGTCCTCTCAGAACAAATCCAGAGTTTCTTTCTCAGGCTCTGAAAATATTTATCATTTTTTTTTCAAATGTGAAGGCTTTTACCACTGTGCCTAGCACTTGTATGGTTAAATGAAAGCTTCAAGAAGCTTATG